AGGAGCGGGGCGGAGAGTAGAGGGAGGGCGGAAGGGGGGCAGGGAAGTGCGAGGCAGGAGAGAGGTATGACATCACGGTGCCCGTAGCCCGCGCGGGCGCGGACAGGAGTGAGGGGGAAACCGCTCCCAGCTCGAGAACAAAAAATCTGACAAGGTCGGAATCCTACCCGCGGGCGCCGCTTGCGTGAATTGGGGGACGGAGAGCGGTATGACACGAACTCTTTCGCAGTCGGGAGCGCCCAGGGGCAGGCGTCCCTGGCGGCGGAACAGTGTGCTGTACACCGCAGTTCGTCCGCTAATGGAACACGGGTGCGCCGAACGTCCTGCGCACCCCCGACCAAACCTGGCACCGACGTATCCATACGGTCGGAGCTCGACCACAAGAAGCCTGACACAAGAAACCCAACCCTGAGACTCCAGGACTTCTATTTATTTTTGGCGTGGGAACGTCACACTTCCCATGGCAAAACCATCCAAACCCAAGAAACCCAGGGCACCCTGGAGGCAAGCATGGTGTTTCCAGGCATGGGTCGCCACTGTACGGTCGGACCTAGGACAGAACAACATCCTTAAATAACATGAGACCCTCCGCCAACCAAACGGAAGAGCATCCGAGGGCACCCTCCCCCAGGATGCACAGGAACATCCAACAGACACGAAGGTCATTAGGGTGCCCTCCCCGAACCGACCTGGATCTTATACCTCGGTCCGACCTTACCTCCAAACGTCGTGAGAAACATAGACGTCTGGGTTTGCCACGCTTTCGACGTCCGGTAGCCGAGTCCAAGCTCGGCCCGACCACGCTCACAAAAGAGTCCAAGATGGGAAAAAGACGGCCCCGGGCAAGGGTGGTGAGAGGTCCAGTCGCAGGGAGGGCTTCTTGGGCGTTTCTTAATGGAGGGGGCGACAAGATGAATGGGGGAAGGAAGGAAAGGTGCACTTCTCGGGCCCTGGAGGCCATTGTCGGGCCAAAAAAGCCCCGTTTAACCCGCCATCGCTCGGACGTCCATTCCCCGTGTATGTTTCGGCTTCGCGCGCGCATTTGTTTCCCAAGATGGCCCAAAAAGTGCTCCCCGATTGTCCTCGCCGAGAGAAAACGCACACGTCCGAGCGATGCCAAGCTAGGAGCCCTGAAGGGGCCCTTTTTCCGCAGCCCCCGCTGCTCCCCATTCATCGCCACCCGCCACAGCGCGACGCCCAGGCTCTCCCCTGCTCTTATGTCGGGCCTGTCCCCCTACAGGGGGGTTTTCGACGAAAAATAAAAAATACCCCAAACATAACAAAAATGATCCACAAATAGTCTGGGGACTAATTTTTTGAATATTGTTTGATCTGTTTGGGGCATTTGTGGGTCACCTTTTAATTTTTCGTCGAAAACCCCCCTGTGGGGGGACACGCCCGACATAACCCTTCTCTCCCCTGCCAGCTCTCTCCTGGGGTCCTCTCGCGCTCCCAACAATCTTGGCCCCTACCGACCACACGAAGCCTCCCACCAAGAAGCCCAGCCCTGAGACCCCAGGCCTTCCACTGATTGTTGCTGGGGGCGCGAGGGAGACGCCAGGAGAGAGTCGGCAGAGGAGAGCAGGGGAGAGCCTGGGCGTCGCGCACAGCGGAGCCCCCACGCCAAGACACACCCTGCTTGCCTCCAGGGTGCCCTGGGTTTCTGTGGTTTCGCTAGCTTTGCCTTGGAAATGTGAGACCTTCGCCCCTAACACGGATCTTCTCCTTGCCATCGCTCGAACATCCATTCCCGGTGCATTCTTCGATGGCCCAGAATGCTCCTCCATGGCCCTCGCAGGCGGAACATGCACACGTCCGAGCGATGCCAAGACTTTCTCTCGAGCAGGGACCGACCGTCCCGGCATTCCTATAGCCCTACCACGAAATTTCCCTAGAACCCAAGAATGCTCGAAGAACAAAACAGTGCTCCTAGAACATAAACCCGATGGGTTAACACAAGATAGCCTCCACCAGAAATGCTCTAGGAACATGTCGTGGAAGCCACAAAAGATGTTCTTAGACCATTGCTTGGTAGGGGCTAGAGGCGAGCCAGGACGCTTCGCCACTGCTTGATGCTCCTTCCGGAGCATGGCCAGGGCAAGGCACCGGGTGGCCCCAGGCCGCCACCTCCCCCCCCGCCGCCCCCGGCCCGCAGTGGGGGCTCCCTGCTCAAGGCCTCCACGGCGGCCCCCCCCGGGCAAGGGCGCCCGACGTCGCGCCTCGCGCTGCGTGAAGCGCGAAGCGCGAAGCGCGACTGCCTTCGCGCGCTCGCGCCGCCCCCCCAGGGGGAGAAGGGGACAAGACAAGACCAGACCAGACCAGACAAGACCAGACAAGACAAGATGGGCCACATGTGATCCACTTCCTGCGTCCGATTTCTAGAGCAAGAGAATTAAGAAAAGAACGGAGCCTTGAAGTAAAACAGCTTCTGGATCTGTGTTCGCTGCGCTGGTCGAGCGACTGTCTAGACCACTCTGCAGGGGGATGCCTCTGGCATCGGAACCGCGAAGAGCAAAGCGCGAAAAACTTCGCGCCCGCGAGGGCACCCTTGGATTCTAAAGGGATGGAGAACGCGACGACACGCGTGCGACAGCGGCTGGCCCACACGTGTCTGGCACGAAATGGGATCACGCCAGCGGAAACTCCCCACTCCGACCAGAGTAGGGTCGGCACTCGGTCGCACTGCGGAGCGGCGTGAAGCTTCTCTGAACCGCCAGCAACGCTGAGCCTCTACCATGTTGGCCACACTCCTATACCACCCAAATGGCAAAATTCAGTCTGGTCGCGACGTCCAGATACAAAGTACGGCAGTACTGCACTAGCCTCAGTGAGGAACTATGCCCCTGGACCAGAGCTTCCTGCTGGTGTCGACTCTGCTCCATGCAGCGGAAGTAGTCGACATCCAGAGCTTGCTCTCCGTCGCCTTGTTCGGTCCCTGGACGCCTCCAGGTCGGCCAGGCAGCGCTCGTAAGACGCCCCGACAAGCACCCGAAGGCTCTAAGGCCTCCCCGAGACCCCTCCAGAAACACCAGCGAATCTGACGGAGAAGCCCCGAGGAGACGCCCAGAGATGCTCCCAACGCTTCCGAGACATTCCGGCGTTTGATCACTTGGGCAAACCTTCAGAGAGCACCACCAAGTCCACAAGACGGCCTGGAACGGCCCCGATGGAGCCCCGAGACGGGCCCAAGACGGCCCGATGCTCCCCCCCCAGGCGGTCCAAGACAGCCCCAAGGAGGTCCAAGACGGCCCGAAGACCTGCCCCGACGTCCCCTAGATGATTCAACCGAGTCTCTTGGGGAGAGGTCGGCATATACATCACGCCCGAGACGGCCCCGAGACTCCCGACAGGCTCTCGACAGACCCTCAGCGGACCCTCAAGAGGCCCCAAGAGGCCCCCAAGAGGGCCCTAAGAGGCCTCCAACCACCTCAAAAGAAGCCTCCAGAATGACTTCACGAGGGAGGGAAGGGAGGTGAGAGAAGGAAGGAGAAAGGAGGATAAGTAGGAGGGAGGAGAAAGGAGGAGGAGGAGACAATGAGGAGAACGAGGCTGAGGGACAAGGAGGGGCCCCTGCTAGGTCAGACAGGGTTATGCGCGTGTTGCTGGTAGCCTCGCGTGGCACGCGGGGCCAGCTACGAAAGCGGATAAGTGGTAATTGCTCTTCCCTTGATCTCCCCCATTCCATACGCCCCTCCCACTCCCCCCCAACCTTGAGTCGCTTGCCCCCCTGCAGCACGGTGCCCGCAAAAAAACGCGAAAGGACGCTAGCAAGCGCTAAATAGCTGGTGACAGCGTAGAGCGTGTGGCTACCAGCGTCGAAACAAGGCGTTTGGCGCCGAGTTTGATGGTATCAGCACCGCATTAGTGGCTGAGATCACCGAGGTAGTGGCCACGCACGGCTATTAGCGCAGAGCTAGCCGACACTAGCGCAAGTAGCTGCTAATTCTGCGCTAATAGCAGCGAGCTCGGCGCTCATAGTCACCGGCTCGGCGCTGATAGATGCCAACTCGGCGCCACGTGCCGCTCGTAACAACCCCAACTTCCAAATGAACCGCTAGTTCGCCTGCTACACCCTGCGAAATGCTTAAGAAACCATGGGTTAAGAAATTCAGAGTCTCAGAACTGGAATAAAAACCCAGAACTTCTATCAAAATCTTGGGATTTACATTGACAAGTTAAGAATAATCAAGACTCTGGCCGAAAACTTAGGTTTTCTTAAGCATCGCCTAAGGTGTAGTCCCCCATTCGCTGAATCACCATACACTACCACTCCGTGGGTTTCGGGTTGCCTGCTGTGAGCGGGCGCCAGTGCCTGGCTGGTGAAGATGAGCGGGGGGGGGGTATCAAGTGGAAGAGGGCAAGGGCAGGAGACGCGCGAGGAGCAGCGAGCGGCTCCTCCCTCCCCCGTCCCTTCCTCCACTCCCCCATTGCCCCCCTCCCCCTCCCCCCTCCCCCCCCACCTCATCACTCTCCCCCTCCTCCCCCTCCCCTCCTCGTGTTCCTCCTCCCCCTCCCCTCCTTCGCATCCCCCTCATCCTCGAACCGCTGAAGAAAAGTGATGATAGCCACGAGTCGTGAGTCGTGACGGGGCACAACTCACGCATCATTCACGACAACACGCAGACCACGGAGACCCACGGGCTGCCACTCGTCCGATGAAAATGGTTTCCACCTTGGCTTCGCCAGGCTTCCGACGCAATCTACACAAACAGGGCACTGAACTGGAGCAGGTCTTGAGCTCAACCTCCTCCTGTCTGCGGTGCTCCGCTGGGGCACGGTGCCCGGGTTTGCCACGGGGGCGGGGCAGGGGAACACCCAACACCCGCCTCCCTGCACCCGCTTCACAGTACGGCAACTTTGACTTTGAGCGTGGGGGGGGGGTAAAGGTGGGGGAGGGGCGCGGACGGGGGGAGGGGGGGGCAGAAAGTGTCGGGAGGCGATGCTGTCCTGGCGTTAGTTCGCCCTCTCTCTCTCTTTCTCTCTCTCTCTCATCTGAAGCCTGCTCAGGGCTGGCTCCCCCAAGACCCAACATATTGCCACACCGATGGGGGAATGTCTTGGTCCAGTGCAGCGCGACCCTCGAACATCAACCATGGCTCCCGTGAAAATGATCCGACAACAAACGAGCATCAGGAGCGGGCAATTCGGAACATATCAAACTGCTATGCACAATCCAAAGATGTGAGTCCACAACTTTCGCCAGCGCTGAACCACCCCACTGAAGGCTGGACCCTCCTAGGACACCTTTGTTACCAGAATCAGGGACCAAGGCATGCGGTGGCAGCACTGGGCCACGAGACTGTCAGGAAGCGCAAGACCTCCGCAAGCAGGCGCCACCCTCAAGACGGGAAATATCATCAAACACCTTTCCAAATTGAGACCGAGATTTGAACTCCTAAGGTGGCTCGGACTTCGTGGGTCCGCAGGGCCTCTGGAGGATACGAAAGTACCGTGGGGGGCGCCTGCTGTCAAGCTGCTTGGTTACCCAATGCGCCCACTGCAGAGGAAGGCTCGGTGCACCACCCATGCCTCCGCACGGCAGAGAAGGGATGGCCCCAGAAAAAGCGTCCCGGCCGTGTCACTATTACGGCGTGCTCGGCCTCGCAGATGCCCGGGCCAGACAAGACAACTTCAGGATCGCCAGCCTGGCTGGCCTTGCCGATACGCGTTCGGCCTTCCTTCAGGGCGAACCTGAGCTTGTTCGTCAGGAGCTCGGCGCCGCATCGTTTCCCGTGGTATGCCCATCTCATCCGTCACGCACCTCGTCTCTCTATCTGTCGGTCGCTCTGTCCGTGTGCCTGCCTGCCTGTCCGTCAGCTATCGGTAATGCCCCCGTGATCAAGTGACGACCGCAAAGCAAATGCTGACTCTGAAGAAATGCAGCTGGTCCGTGGAGTAGCACGTGAGCGTGTTCTTATTCAGCGTTTCGACATTGGGCGGAAGGGGGGAGGGGAGGGGGGGGTCTGGCTTCAGACCTCTGCTTCATGCGCCTGCTTGCAGCAGTGCTTCCTATGGGAGAGACTCCACCTGTTCGAAACAAGCGACAAAAACAGCCGAGATCTACTCCATGCGGGGGGAGGGGGGAGGTGCGCGGGCTCACGCCGATCGGCAAAACAATGAATAAGAAAACGATCACCACCCAGAGCAAATGAATCACGCTTGAGACCACTTCTACTGCCCAATCACACTTCGAAACGGACAGGCGAGCTCGGGTAACTGCTGTGATAGCCAGCGAGCTCATGCGCCGTGGCATGGAATCCGCGGTACACAGGACACTGTGCGACACGGAAGGCGACATTCCCGCTTTTCGCGTGTGCCATCGGAGGCGTCGTCAACTTTGCTTCCAATGGCGAACAATCGATTCAGTGGGCAGACCGAGCAATCTACAACAGGTGCTGCAAGTGTCATAATCGAACTGGTCTGACTCATATTGACCGTGCCATTAGTATCCGCTGAAGCGAGGAGGCTGGAAAGCGAGACTCCCGTTCCAAGAGTCACTGATTGGACCGGTATTGTGTCTGCCTCTTTGGAGCAAGCGCTAGTCGAGCCGGAGACTCCTCGGGTGCAGTGGCGGGGATATGGGACTTGCACGGTGCCCTTTTGAACTCGTGCACGCCTGGACGCGCGGAAACGCCGCACGGCAAAGATTGGGGAGCTCCTGGTCTTCGTTCAGATTCGCAATATGCGGGAGCTTCTCCGTCAAGTCCTCCTTCTTCTTCTGCATCTCTGCCTGCATCTGTGCCTGGTCGGAAAGAACAGATGTGCGAGAACAGAAAGACAACTGCGGAGGCCCAGAGGTACCAATACCACTACTCCTGGGACCTCCTCTGGGGTGCGCTCTGGCCAGGCCTCCCAGGCGAATCCAACGGTGGCGACGAGGGCCTCCCAGGAGGCCCGAAAAAGGGAGAGCGAGAGCGAGGGCAGCGGCAGGGGCACCTGGAGGCCAGCAGCGTGCTTCCTGGCATGGGCCCCCACCGCATCCCACCACGTGGGCCAGCCAGGCCTGCACAGGCCACACTGGGGCGGGCAAGCGCCCCGACCTCCGCCGAGGCGCCGGCCCCCTGGTGGACCTGACCTCTCTCGCGGGGGGCCGAGCTTTCGCGCCGGGCAGCGCTGTCGTGGCCCCGGGGCCGACCGAGCAACGGCCTCTGGCCATCGCTCGGACGTCCATTCCCTGTGTTTTTTTTGGTTTCGTGCGTGGTTTTTGCGCCAGATGATCAAGGATGCTCCTCGATGGTCCTCACCGAAAAAAAATGCACACGTCCGAGCGATGCCAGGGCCTGCGGAGGAAGAGTGCAAGTGGAAATGAATGGATGAAGGAGGCCGCGCGTCCGTAGGCACACGAGCAGTGGCACGAGCGTGCGCTGGACAGTACACTTGCGCACTGCTGCTTCCAGGCTTCCGCTGAAAAGGGTACAAACTTACTTTACGTCTGTTGCAACCAGCATCACGACAAATACTCGGCGCATGCTTATACAAATCCGACGCCCAAGCGGAAATGAAGGCGTATACAAGTGGAACGTGCCTGCCAAGGCTCAAACAAACACATGTGCAGCATTAGTGCGCCTGGTGTGGAATGCGCGCGTTTGTGTGTGTGTGTGTTATGTGTAATGTGTCTTGCGTGCTGTGTGCGTTTGTTGTGTGTTGGGTGTGTTGTGGGTGTGCGTTGTGTGTGTGGATTGTTCAGTGTGGTGCGTGTGTGTGTGATATGTGTGTATGTGTGCATGCGTGTGCGTGTGCGTGTGTTCTGAGTGTTCAGTGTGCTGTAGGTAATGCGCGCGTGTGACGTGTGTTGTGTGTGGAGCGTTTTGTATGGTGTGTTATGTGTGTATCATGTGTGCTGTACGTCGGGCATCGATTTCGGGAGGATGCCTCAGGCGAAACTGCCTTGTTCTAAGAATCGTGTTGAAGGCTTCGATGATTGGAAGGTGTCTCAGGTTAAAATCCAATGTTCGAAGAATCGGGTTCGAAATAATTGAATGTCAGTGTGTGAAGGTTGGAGGTTCAAATTGCAAAATCCAGGTATGCTGTTGGACCGTGACGTCGCGATCTGCGTGAGGGGCGCGTCCGATATTCAGAATGTTGAGGGTGTCCCGAGTGAAACGGACAGAGCAAGCACTTAGAGCTTCAACAATAATTGCCTCCAAGCTCCACCCCCTCGGAGGGGTGCGCATGATAATACATATATACAGATATATGTATACAGATATCTATACATACATATATATACATATATATATATATATAAGAAAAAACGTGCGTATGCAATTAAGACGCCGAGCCGTTTGTTCTGACCGCGCCCAAATAGACAAAGCTAGCACCGCGGCAAACCCACAGAAAACTGCGCGTCCGAGGCGGAGTCTGCCCTGGTGGTCGAGGCGTCCTCCCCAAGGCGTAAGGGCCGCGCGTCCGAACAAACGGCGCGGCGGCATACACACGCACTCTGGATTTCACCATCAAAATCGGCGGTGGACAAACCTCCCTTTAGTCAACCTCCCCTTAATGAAAACGGCCTGGGACCGAAACCGACGGACCTGGACCCGCAAAAATGACGGCCGCGACGCCCTCTCGCGAACCGAAAACGGCCGATTCCTTTAACCGACGTGTCAGGGTAGGAGGTCGATCAACCTCCGAATTTCACCATAGAAAGGGGGTGGGCGTCTTTTTTTATTCGGAGTTTCGACATTGGGCAGCAAGGGGGAGGGAGCCCTGGGACGCACAAATAAATACACACAAGTAACAGGATTCCCCATATGTTCTGATATGTTCTGGGTTTTTGTCTTCCCCCCCACTTCCCATAGTTTCCCCTATTTTCTGGGGAATCGACGATTCATTGTGTCTGTGTGTTTTTTCCCCTCCCGATAGGGGGAGGGAGGGGGGGGGGCTCCACACCGTTGCTTGGTGCGACTGCTTGCCAAGGAGTGCGGCCTCTGGGTGAGAGCCCACCTGCTCGAAGCAGACGCCCAAAACGGACAAGATCTACTCCACGGAGGGGGGGCCCTCGCCGCTCTTGGGCCTGTCTCCTCTTCCCCTAGAAGGACAGCTTCGTGCTGGGAGGCAGGGGCTGCGAAGGCACAGGGCACGTCTGTGTAGCAAGCACATTCAACGGATGCGCCGAGGGCCCGCGCCGATCGGCAAAACGACGAATAAAAAACACGATCACGTGGTGGTCGGATTTGGGGGGGTCTGGTCTGAGCTGTCCTGGAGGGTTCCACGGGGATCTGGGCAAGAGGCCGCCCATTCCTGGCCAGTCTGGGGGGCGGGTCTCAAATTGCTCGTCTGGGAGGGTTGTGACCCCCCGCCCTTCGTTACGAAACTCGGGGCACGCGTGCGCATGAACCACAGAGCTTCACTTATCCGGGTGGCCGGAGTGGGCGGCGAGCGTGGCGGGGAAGTGAGAAGGTGAAGGCCTTCTGCGAGGCTTCCCGAACCTTCCCGAAGACATAGGAACCCTGCCAAAAAGCCGGAGGCCTTCTGAGAAGCCCCCCAGCCTTCTGAGAAAGCCTTCTCTTTCTCACGTTTGCCTTCCGAGACGCCCCCCAGCCTTCTGAGAAAGCCTTCTCCTTCTCATGTCTGGGGACACCAAAAGGCCGATACCGCTACTGCACGGACCTCTCCCAAGGTGCCTTCTGACCAAAATTTCGAAGCGAATCCAGCGGTGGCGACGAGGGCCTCCCACGAGGCCCATAAAGGGGAAAACGGGGGAAGGGTAGAGGTATGGGTACCTCTTCCTCCTCTGAATTGCCCACCTCGCTCGCCGCCGATTGCTCGCGTCGCCAGAGGTCTGGGCAGGCGACCCGAGGAGGTAGCCAGGCAAGGGGGGAAGCCAACAGCGCGGGCGGTGCCCCTGCGAGTGTGTTGATCGTCGCCGCCGTCGAGACTCGAGCATCCGAGGAGTCGCGGATCGAGATCGTCATCGTCGTCGAGATTCGAAATAAGACGAAGCCAGGACGAGGGTAGCATCGGGCGAGGATGAATCGAGAATCTCGTTGGATCTGGC